AGATTCAATGTCACTCTCTTAACACCCAGTCAACGTAGGTGTTTTCGATCTGCATACTTAGGCTGTCAGATTCATGAAATCTCAGTGAAGGTATCAGAGCTTTACTATAATTGAAGGGTTGATTGCTATGAATGAACCGAGGCTAGGTATATTATGATCCTATTGTTGCATGCTCATGGGAGTCTTAAAATCAAACGCTATGGTGCCAAAAGAGAAAAGTCAAAGATAAACGCCAAAAACTCCTTCATGCATTCATACATTTCACGTAGCATTAGATAATACCGAAAGTAAATTTGCCCCCGAATCCTTTTAATGCCAGTCCATTTTATCGCCACGCACAGCGTTGCTTTCTCCTCGACTCCTATAGGTGTCGGTCGAGTTGGTGGTTGAAGGCGTCATGACAGACGAACGACTGACTAAATATGCAGCAGGCGCGGCGTTTTTTGTTTCGCGTTCTTTTTTATTATAGTGATGGTGGTGCTGAGCTTTCTCCGCTGGGGCATGCACTGCAGACCTGCTTGTTGAGTTGGGAACAATGACACTGAGGACGCACTCATCGAGATGCTCATAGAACTCCTGCGGTGAAGCAAACCCAATCTGGCAGATCGAGCATCTGGCACCGGAAGATGAACCGGGCCTTCCACCAGACATTCTGAAGCCTTCTGCAGCGAAAAGCTTTCGGCTGTTTAGCGGAGCTTGCTCAACATGATGAGAAGTTGTGAGGTGCCTCTTGAAGACATCTGCACGGTTAAATGTTTTTTCGTAAACTGTCCCAACATTGGGACAAAATGGGCAACTCATAGTTCCTTTGTAATGTGTTAAAGCGTGGCGGTTCTTGTCGTATTTGCGGGCAAACCCCTTCACGTGGTATTCACATGTATCAATTGGGCACTTCTCCGGTCGTTGCTCCTGGTGTGTAAGCATATGAGCTGCCATATCCTTAAACACTCGACCACAGTCAGGGTGGGGGCATTTATTCCGAGAATCCGCACCAGATGAACGTGTTGGGCTATCTTGGAAACTGCCTTCTGTAACTGGCGATCCTTGATATCTTGATCCTGATGGCCCTAAATGGATACGGGACGGGTCATGGCTCGCCAACGCACCATGGGCATCATTTGCTAATTTCGATTCCTGGTCATCCCCTCCGCTCGAAGTATCGTCATCTGGCGATGCATCGGCGGGCTGTCGCACTTCCTGCATCCAATCCTTCAGGAGACTCATGGGGGGCCAGTCGCCACTGGCTTTCCCGCCTCGGTTCGGGTTAAAATGGGCTCGTCTAAGGTGCGCAGCAGCATTGTAATAGGCGCCGTAGTGCTTCTGGATTAAGCATGCCTTGCATTTGGAGAGCGGTATTGCAGGCTGTGGTGAAGTCAAGTCACGGGCGTCAGGTTCTTTGCAAACCCATCGTTTCACCATTGCAGCATGCTTTGCATCTACATGACGCCTCAGTTCGTGCTCGCCCCTGAATCCCTCTGGATACTCGTTGCATTTCGAACAGTACACGCGGCGAACTGGGAGTTTAGGGTACGTTCTGAACTTTGGCAGTGGTTTCGGCGAAGCGATGTGTCGGGGGTTGCGTGGCGATGTTGGTGAACCTCCTACCGTGTGCCGTCGAGATCTATTCGACTTTACTCGAGGGATATTCAAAGACACTTCAGGCCGAGATGCCGAAGCCTGCTCTTCTTTCTCGGCATTCGAGCCCATCATGATACCCGATGGATGCCACAAAGCACCTGAACGTCCACTCTCCGACTCAACAGTAGAGATCGGGGGCAGTTGGATCGTGACGCGTCTACTAGCATCGACGGTCCGTTGCCGAATAAACCCGTTAAATACGGGGTCATCGGGCAAGCCATTCCCGAGCCTCATTAGAAAATCGAAACTCGACGAAATGCGTCTTGCTGGCCAACTTTCCCACCTAATCACCCGTCTAGCAATACTCAACAACGATAGCTCATCTGTAGACAGTTCATTTGATACAATATCCAAAGGCGAGTGGCCCGATGCATAGAAACAGTCCACGATGGCCTTGTAGGCGCCATTCATCGTGCGGAAAATGCCTTCAATAGGAGAGCCAATATGCTGTTGCAGACTATGTGGTGAAATCGTCGTCATGTCAACGAGTATTGTTCGTACAACACTAAATATGCAAAGTGAGTAAAACACAGAGAGCCAATCCTTCACGGAAAAGCTATTCCCCGGAGCTATTGTCCGGTCAAGGGATTGGAGGTAGCGAAGCAAGCACTGGTAGATGATCTTCAAATGCTCATGTCCATTAGACTCTTCGGGGGGTGTCGCATCACGCTGGCTCCCCCCCACACTGATCGCCGAATCAACGCGAGGAATATCGTACTGTGCTGTTTCACGCAACAGTAATTTGGCAAGATAAAGAGAAGGGTAGACTGCCTCCTCGGCGGCTCGGTTTGGAGAGATATATCCAGAGACCTTTAACAGGTCCAACAAGTCATAGGCCGTATCCTGGCAGTTTGAGCTGGATGCAAGGGCACACAGCACGGGCGGGGCTGATATGGAAGTCCTTCGAGACATTTCTGCTGCGCTGCATCCTACCTCCTGGTCTATCAGACCTGACCACCAAAAGTTGTCATGGAAGTCGAGCTGCTGATCCACAGCCGCGATAGTAGCTGTGTCGTAGATCCACCGTCGTTGTAAATACTCGTTGGTGTTCGTTCGATGTAGCAAAGGTGATGCTACAGGAGTACCTGCGTTATGAGGTGACATTGGGCCTTGGGTGTGTTAATCATTGAGAGATGAGCGTGAAGGAAAGATGATATTTCGTACCTGACAAGAATATATCGGCAAACGATGCCAGGGGACCTCGATAACATCCTAGAGCTTTCCAATGTTCCTCATGCTCTGATGATGGGGGCTCCATACAATTCGTGCAAGGATGGCCCGCATCACACTAGAATTCGTTAGTTGAGACATCTCACAATGGAAAAGGGGAAATCGGAATGTCCATACTGTTTTGTGCAGAACCTTACACCGTAGGCAAGGCTCTGGGTTGCGCATGAGGTGAAGCTCGCCGATGGACTGTAAGCGAGCATGGCCAACTCTACTCCGCTTCATTGGCGGTAGTAAAGGATCGATGTCAGACTCGGCCGAGCCACGTCTTGTTCCCGGCCGGCTACTTGGGAAGGAAAAGCTTCCAAAAGGCTCATGTCTTTCACCATACAACCCCTGCGTGTTGAGTGGAGGGAAACTGGCCATTGAAGCCGGCTGTGGCAGGCGGAATGGCACCGTGCTGGTGAATGACTCGGACGAATCAAGCTCCGGAAAGAGCTTCTCGGGCTCCATAGGCGGACTGCCATCGACAGAAAGACCAGAGTCTCTCTTGGGGGACTGGGATGAGTGGGTGCGTAGATGGTCGTCGCGGTCGGCCTGGGTAGGGAAACCATATATATAATGCATACACTGATCATTCCAGCACTTGTGAGAGGAGAGAGATGGCAATGGTGTCTGAGATGGCGGGGTGTTCGGAGGAGTTGTCTCTCGGGCTGCTGAGGCGGCACGGATAATCGGATCGTGCAGTTCTAGGTGTTTATCAAGCCACAAGGCGAAGCCATTCGGGGCATCTTGACATGAAAGCTTGAGCGCATTAACCAAGTCAATGGTAGCTATGATGCAGAAAATTAACAATTACAATCAAGGGAAACAGTTACGGGGCGGGTTTTCTGCACATACGATCTCGCAAGCAAGCAGCTTCAAGACACTCGCAACGATACTGCACAGCCCGGGCCTCTTCAATTTCGGAGAGTATTGGAATATAGGGGTCAATTCCTTTAGGAAAGGGGGTAAATGTTAGCCAATAGCACAATTCAGAGCTCAGTAGAATAAAGCAAAAATAAAACAAAAAAGACTTGTGTGTGGGTGAGAAGGAGGGGGATTGCAAGTACATGTCGTACAGAGGTTTCATCACTTACCATGCTGGTTGCTGAAGTTTTGTACAACGTTCTCGAGAATGGTGCATTTATGGCGGAGCATCTCGAGTTCTACCACGGGATCAAACCCCCGTTGATTTGTTAGCAAGGAGGAAAGCCTCACTTGGATGTCGGCCTGCTGGCTGAGCAGCTGTCTGATCTGAGATTCGAGATCCGGGTCGACCTCGGTGGCCGTGGTTGGGGTGGACCTGGACGCAGCATTGTTGGTGGTGTACAGAGTGCTTCCGGAGGTGTTTGTGATACTGCTGAGAGTCTGGTGGTGATACTGAGAGTGGACGGTTGAGAACGACGCGCCCGACGTGCCTGCCGAAGCAAAGCCTGGACCCGGGCCTGGGGCAGGAGCTGGGCCTGCGCCTGCCGACGCGGGGCTCGCTGTTGCCGTCGGAGTGAATTTAGGGGGCGACGAGGAAGGCTCCGACGGGCGAGTCGAGGATGTTTGGGAAGCCAGTCCGGGCGGCAACAGACCAGGCAGTTTGGGCAGAGGCAGCGTCAGCGGGGCGAACTCAGCCGTCTCCGGCACTCTGGGGGGTGCTTGTGGCGGCGATGGAGTGGTGGACGACGACGATGACGAGGCCGACGAGGACCTGGTTGTGGTTGCGAACGAGAATGAGAACGGCGGCGCAGGAGCAGCAGCGTTTGGGCCTGGGGCAAGCGCTTGGTCCGCTTGTGCCAGGCTCATGCTTCCCTGAGATAGCAGTTGGAAGCGCTGGTCGTTGACCATCCCGTTCCCAGCGGCACCTTGCTGCCAGCAGCGAGCTCCTCTGTTTCCTGTCCCGTCCCAGTTCCTCTCGCTCCGAGCAGTGTGATGCAAGTAAGCAGCTCTCTTTGGCTCTTCTGCTTTCCCGCTCTTCCTAGATCCGAAGCTCTTCCTCCGACAAATCAATCAAAACAGTGAATAGACACCCGCGAATGGAGTTTCCCAATCCTCGGACCAGCGAGATGCTCTTGATGTCCTCTCCAAAATAAACGGTGGATTCAGTGTTGCTGCCGGTGGCCAGCTCGAAATCGCTTCTGTTATCAAAACTAGCGATTATAACAATGGTGCCGCCGACAACGTCGCCTGCAGCGATAGACGGTGGTCAAGAAGATGAAAGTGTTGATGCACGCCTGGGTAAGACAGATCCGTCATGTCAAACCTCTACAGTATCCAGATACGTCAGGCGGCTCAGATCCTGATTCAGGGCGTGATCCCGACGCCTGTAAAATCCACAAGGCCGTGGCCATCTGGCAGTTCCGGACTGCCGGAACTCGCTCAGTATAGGACGAAGCCGGTTGAGCAAACGAGAGATGTCAAATAGGACATGTGACTGGTTGGGCCGCGACACAAAAGAAAAGGATATATATACGAATGGGAAGGGTGGGAAGTTGAGTACAGTAAAACAAGAGAGAAGGGAAGAAGCAGGAAAAATAAGATCGGAGGCGAGATACTGCGGTTGGGCTTCGGCCGAGATGGGCTGTATATCTATCAACCGCACAGGCTCGCAGTCTCCCTCGCGCCCTCGAGCATCCCACGTTTTAGGCTGGAGTCTGCTCCGAACCCTGGCGTCGTCTGACGCCTCTCTATGGATTGTTTGTATGGTGCTTCAGCAGCGACCATACTCAGGACGGTTGATTGTTCGCCTCCATGATCCAGGAAGAGCCAGGGCACGGATCTCAGACCCAAGCTGCAGGCCTGCAAAGTCGCCTCCTCCTCTACGCAGCCCAGTTTCGCTTCTGGAACCCGACCAGCATGGGCCGTCTAGCACCCACCAGGGGAGGGAACGTAAGGCGCGGTTGAGGCGAGAGCAGATACATCCCCCCAACACCAGCGACATGCCGCAGTACATGGCTGCTGCTTACAACTCTGCTCGGACATCGTGGGTCTCGTGTGTAGACGCGGTGGGTCTGGGCGAGTACCATCGCCAATCCCACGCTACACTCAAGGTTCTTTCTTGGCCTGGGAGGGGGGGAGGGGAGCCGTGCGTGGACCAGTTACATTCGAACCGTTGCCAGGCGGGTCAATCAATCTTCATCTCATTCTCCCCTCCGCCGCGCTCACAAGCCGGGAGTGGGGACGGTTGCAGCTCCCGTCCATGACTGGACAGCAGCCTGCCTGTGCCATGCAAGTGTGGACATGCATGCATGAGCCTGGTTTCGCACGTAATGGTAAGTGATAGGTAAGGTGAGGCAGCTTGACTTGGTTCACTTCAGTCCAATCCTTTGCTCAGGACCTAATTGATCCCTTTCGACCACCCGCAGGACACCTTGGGACTTTGGCAGGCAGAGAGGGTGAGCATTACCCTACCCCGGCTGGGTACATGGATCGCCAGCGAGAGGGGCATGCCATGCCTAATTCCTTACACCATCTCGACGGCTTCTTTTCCTGCGTCGACGGCGGGTTGGTTCTTACATGGCACTGCATTAGCAGACGGCAGTGCCCTCGTGCAATGGCAGTCACGGCTGCGTGCACACCCTCCGGTTCATGACAGCACCAGCCAGGCTCGCATGCCACACGACCATTTCTGGATGCAGCTACCTACCTAAGGCATGCTATCAGTCGCTTGCATGCAGCGGTAAGATATAGATGCCCTTGCGCCCCGACCATTGGCGGCAGCTTGTTTCAAGATGAGCCGGCCCTCTCCCACGCGTAATAAAGCACACAGCAGTTCCAGCACCGCTCGCTGTGTAACAACCACCCCCCGGAGCATCGGGTGTTTGGCCTGGCACAAAGCACAACTCTGTGGAGCCCTGCTTGGCTGGTGGTAGCCGTTGGCCGCCATTCTCGTTCATTGCATGCACCTTCAAAGGGTCATCAAGCAGGACGAATCCTCCCCTGCCCCTCCCGACAGCCGTTTCTTGTGCTTCTCGGGCTATTATATACTCGGCACAACTGGTGTGCACAAGAATACCATCCACTTGCTTAGCTGGGTCACAGGCAGAGCAATCGAGGGGGTGGGGGAGCTTTGATAGCTTCAATCCCCAACTTGCACAAAACAGAAGAAAAAAAACATGCTATTTCCCACAAGCCCCTCTCCTCCCTGGGGCGAACTGAGCAGTGGCGGCGTTTGTGTTGATCCCCATGTAATAGAAGCATGCCGCCCCGTGTGCAGGTGGAAAACCCATCCAGCCCAGCAACAAATTGAGCCCAGAAAACCACCCAGTGCAATGGGACGGAGCAGCAGCGTTATCGGGCCCGCCGCGCGTTTGCAGCACCCTGCACCTTCGCCAGCAGCCTCTCTCTCCCAGTGAGGCGGGCTAGATCTGAAAAGGGCAAATGGTGTGAAGCAGGGCGAGACAATCCTCAGGGAAGGGCTCTTTTTTTTTTTCCCACTGGCGTAAGACGTTGGTGTTTCATCCACCTCTTCCCCAACCAAAACGCGCCCCGTTCCGTCTGCACAAGGACCCCGACGCGCTCTTCAGCTCGCCTGGGACCCTGAGCCTTCGAGCCCGCCAGTCCGGCATCGCCGCCCACCAGATCAGATCGGATCAGACCAGGGCGGTATCTGAGTGCTACCTGGTTAGCATGCACTTCGCAGCTTCTTTCCGTCGTGTCGTCTTCTGCCTCGGGCAGCCCATGAATCTCCCGTACCGCAGCTGAAACTGCCGTGCTTGACAAAGGATTGACCAACTCTTGGACAACATTGGTGCATCTCCGAGCCATTCCGTCAACGGAGTGGATGCAGGTAGAAGTGCCTATCACCCGCTCTCTCGGCCAGGTTTCAATACGAAGGAAGCTCGGCCAAAATGACGGCGCCCAGATTTATCCAGACAGCTCTCAGACAGCAAGTGGCCGTCAGAATAGCAGGGACTGCAAAGGTGTCTTAATCTTAACTTCCCAGTACAGGCCACAATAGTAAATAATAATTTTAATAATAAGAAATTACTAGGCAATATTATCTACTACTATATAATAAGGAAGCAATAGGAAGTATTATTATATGACTGACTGCCGCAATAATTCTATCGAGGTGACTTTGCAGTCCCTTTTTTTGAACAGCCACTTGACAGTTTCCATACACAAGTTCGCAACTTGGCGGCATAGTGCTATTATATTCGTTCGTCTATTATTCATGCATTATATACTACCAGTTGTCTAGCTCAGTTTCCGTGCGGCCCTTGTTAAAGAATATCCCCGAGACAGCAAGAACCAAGCTGCTCGACAAGTAAGAAATGGGAAGATGGTTTCGCAAAACATAGCTATGGAAGGAATTACAAAAATAATATGCCAATATGTCTTTGATAGAGAATAGAAGTGAACAGGTAGAAATGCACATGCCAATGTCTCTGTTTTTCTCCATTTTGAAGTTCGAGAAGTTGAAAGAGAGAGAGGCAGAAGCTTGCTCGTGTTGAATGACCAAGCCCAAATTTTAGCAAAGAATAATTGCAGGCCTGCCATCTCCTCGCCCTTCAAAGCAGTTTGGGGTTTCGGGAGTAGTCCGGTGGCGTCAATATGCATCTTACCATCTGCTGCTCCCAGCTTTCGATGACGAAGGCGGAAAAGTCTCGGAACACCAAATGCGCCATACTGCGACCGTCTCTCTTCCTTGGCCCTAGGATCCTCGTTTAGGCGAGAAAGAGAAAGAAGGCTTCTCCACTGCCGGAGCCTCAGTTCCCCCATGGAAACCGAACCGCGCGGTTGGGTTCGTTGCCTTGGGCTAGGGGGCCCTGCATATTTTTGCCCCTCCCCGAAAACTAAAGCATCAATTCCTTCGCGGAGGTGAACTATTCGTTACGCCACCACGTTCGTTCTCTCAGTGGCATTTCTCGGCCAGCCGCTTTTCTGCTTCCGTCTTCCTCCGCCTTAAACGCCCAGTACTCGCCAAGGCGCAGCTCAGAGTAGGAGGCGTAATCAAAGTCGATCTCAGAAATCATGGCCTGTATGCACGACCAAATGCCCCAATAAAAGCCAGGTACGCCGCGAAAGATGTCTACCTCCTTTTCTAATCTGCGTGCCTGCTCCTCCAAGTCAATATCTCCCTCTCCGCAAAGTTCCCGGTGGACCTTGACGTATTCTCGAATGAACAGACGGCGCTGGGAGACTGTGGGCACGGCAGTGTAGTCACAATCATACCCAACCCATTCAGCAAAGTGGTTGGCAACGTCGAATGCTGCAGGTGAAGGTGTAGCGTACTCGTAATCGATGAAGCTCACCGCTGTAGGCTCACCATTCTGATGATCATGCATAATAACGTTGGCACATAACAGATCACAGTGCGCAAACACCAACTACACAGTTTTTATACGATTAGCCATCCATACTATGAGTTTTCGGGGAGATGGGTGTGAATCCGACCCCTCTCCCCCAATCCCCTTTTTACCTCTGCTTCCTTCGGGGGTAAAAGGGGGGAAGGGTTGAGGGGATGTGATAAAGTCAGGATCGTCATACCCCATTGTCGCCAGGTTCATGCCTTTGGCTGAGTTTCTCGATGAGCTCGTTCAATTCTTTCTGTAGCAAAGTTTGCCTTTCACGCTCCTTTGGAGTTTCTGTTGGAAGAGCCAGAATCCACTTCTGCATTGTAGTCCACAGATTGGGGATTGGTTTCCCTGATGCCGCCTTGGCGATGAGAGCCTCGCTCTCACTGGGCTTGCTTCCATGCCCGTTGACCTTCCCGTTTGCTCGGGGTGCATCATAGAGGCAAGGGACCGTAGCGTGCCATTCAGCTAGTCTCCGAGCGATAGCTGTCATAACGTGAGGCTTCTGGAGGTCCTGTGGCTGGGCCGGCGTGCCAGCGGTGTAGCGGTAGAGCATTCCATTCTCAAACCGTGCAAGCAGCTCAGGAGCCAGATTGTGCTTCATAAGCAACTCGTGGTTAGAGGCCTCGCGCTCGCGGTCAATCAGAATATCGGTTTTGTTACCATAGGCACGGAGAAGAATGGCTTCTTGATCAATCTCTGCCTCTGAGAGACCTGGGCGACGGTTGATCGCTTTCAGCAGCGTGTTGGTGATGCCATCAGTGAAGCGTTCGAACTCGAGCTGGGAGTCGCCTTGACCCCATTCCGGTATCAGCGTGAGAACCAGTTTCGACGCCGTAGCCTGCGAGTCATGGTTGTCGTATCTGAGAGGGAGATAGGGGATCTTCCCCAGGTCATTATGGGTGATTGCTGCTGGTGACATGATGTTGGGTGAGCTATGAGACCGACAATAATAAATTACGGGACAAGTCGACCTGCACAGCTTTTAAGGGAGTGTGAACAGACACGGTGTGGAGGAGAATGAGGAGAATGAAGAAGCACAGGTGATGCCTAGAAGCGCGTGATCGTCTGGGGATCGGTCATTTCCAAAGGGTGGGAAATGGTTAACGAAGTCCCTTTTTTTTTAAGGGGGGCAGGGATTATCACTTGGTCGTTGGCTGCTGGCTTGAAGATGCGTAGATTTGGGGGGGAAGAGGAACGGGGGGAGAAGTGGGAAGAAAACCACAGTCGCAGGGTCCGCAATTCGATCAAGCCAGGGAAGGAACTGTTGAGTGCTTGGAAAGAGACAGGTCTCCAAGCCGGGAAGTAGAGAGCGGGTGAATGGCTAGTGGATGAGAGAGAGAAAAAAGCACACGACCTGTTTCCTACTAGGAAATAAAAGGACTGGATGATGTACTGGAGGGGGTTCTAGAAACGGGGAAAGTATGGATGATAGAATTGGTTTGATGAATTAATGTTGAAGGCGAGATGAGACGAGGGCTTTCTCAGCAAAGAACGGACCAATCATGGCGGCACAAAGCCTGGGGACCAAATGGGAACGACCATGTCCAGTGCCTAAGTCAAGCCAGCAGTAAAAACTCCTCTTACGTGTCGCTCCTCCTTGGTCTTGATTTGCCTCCATTCTGGTGCACCCGTGCGTCCAAAAGGGGAGAAAAAAACCACAATCACATGAAGATGCCCAGCCAAACGCCCTGAAGAATCTCATCCCAGCCTGCCGAACTCCGTGGGCACATGCACATCCGCCTCAGGGACGACAAGTGGCTTTTTGTAATTTTTTTTTAATTGGGCTCAGCCAGTGATCCCGCCCGGCTAGCAAGTTTAGGAGCTCGAGTCGCCTAATTGATGTCCCTTGATTGCACCTATCTGCCCTGTCAACCCCATCCACCCTAGCTAGGGCCTTAGGGGTCCGTCGTTGTGTCCAGGGCTGAGGTAGTGCTAAACCCACCTGGGTGGTACTTTTACGTCGGTAGTCGAGGCGGGAGACAGGCCGATGCGCGTAGATGCAGGCCGTTGCTCTTCTACTAACATTGCCAATTACCCAGAGGCAGGTCTAGCCTTACACTGCACGCAGTCCACTCCATTATTGATAACGGGTAATACTAGATGGAGGATAGGGGTGTTCCAGACAATAGGCCCAACCTAACTCCCAAGCGAACGGCGACTCAGCTAGCAGCTCCCTAGTGGGAAATCGCCTCCGGTAATCCTGCCCGTCCTCCCAAGTCGCCAACGGTTCCACACGGGTGGATAAAAAAGCAGGAATGCAGGTCGGTACGCACCAGTTTGTCATTAGAACGCTGACGACAGATTGCTGGTGATGGTGTGTAGCGTCCAAACCCCTCGCTCCCAAAACAGCTAAGAGCTACCCTGCAGCGTGTGATCGTTCCTCCATTCGATATCGGAGCCAATGGCTGCTCTGGACCTGATGGGCAGCTGCCCATCTATCACCAGGTCGAAACACCGATCTGATATCCCTCGGCCCTGGTTCGTTGGTGAGGCCCATTGACCGAAAGAGATGGAACGTTGAGTATGAAGTCACAGAAACTTGCTCCCACAATTTTCACGTTCGTCTTTACCGCGGAGCTCCAAAACGGCAGGCACTGCACCATGGGAACAATGTTGCTGCAACAGGCCTAGGGTAACCCACCCAACTTGGCATAGGCCCTTGCTTGTCTTTTCGTGAGGCCCAGCCGGATCCTCCATATCGTGGCTCAACAACAATTGAGTGCCTATCAACCACACACACCTGCTTGGGGATACGCCATCGAAGACTGGAAGAATAAGGTTATTCCCCCAATAACCCACCCACATCTAAATTCTTATTGCCTGGATCCATCCCTCCGGTCCCCCACTCTCAACTGCAATCATCAGCACGTGGGGAACAACGGGCTGTCCAGCAACTATCTCTCCTCCAAGCACATGCGCCAGACCATGCGGTCAGATATCTCATCGCCATGTCTTCTGTCAACAGCGACAATTTCCTGGCCGTCGCGCTTGTCATAAACCGCTCTCGTGATGGTCCCGCCTTTGTCTTCCACTATCCAGAGCAGGTGCAGCCCACATCCAATGCCACCGAGCAGCCTGATCCAAATGAAATGGAGGACATTCTTCTCGAGCGACTGTCACAGCCGGCGGACCGCGACGGCGTAGCTGGTACTGACAGTGACGATTTGCCCCCCAGGTACTGGAAACATGACGAGCATATCATGACCGACTCTGGCTCACAAATTGTCCCCTGGGAGCATGTCGCGGGTTTCCCTGCGCGGGATCTAGCCAGCATTTTAACACCAGCTCGAGCTTATCACAAGACCCAGTTCCAGCTCTCCCTGGACCCTCTCTACTGCGTGTCATATCCTGTCCATGTACCTGAAAATGGTAAGTGGAAAAAGGCCAAGAAAGTCGATAAAGATGGCGGCAGCTCCAAAGCTGGCAATGAGCGAACTGCTCCCCAAGAACCAGAGAGCGCCTCTAGTAAGCCTGAGGAGGCTCCCAAGGACAAAGACGGGAAGAATGCCAGGGATGAATCAGACGAGGAGAAACGCAGCTCCATGACCATGTTTAATCTAGTATTCATCCTTCAGCCCAGAAAGCATGATATCAAGGGCCTCGTGGATACCCTTTACTCCAACATTGTAAAGAAAGCCAACAAGGCATACATGTATAGCCAGCAGCACAGTGATTTTGTTTGGAAGGAATCCAAACGTATCCTCGCCGCCAAGGAGAAAGCCCGTGAGGAACGTAAGTTGTGTTATGCCACCCACTACCTTGTATGCTAGGGAAACATTGAGGGCTAACGTTGGATAACAGAGAAGAAGATGAGCGTTCTTTGGAAAGAAATCCTCCACAGCTCATCTCTGGCGGCATCCATGCACGACATTTACGAGGCAGTCTCTCAGAACAGAATTGCCGCTCTCCATCTCGACACCGCCGATGGGGTTTTGACCCCTTCCTTCCAGATCCCCATCCCATTCTATGTGCCTGACATCCCTCAAGATACTGATCAAGATCAACGCGGGCTTTGGCTCACATCAGCAAACGCCTTCCTGAGCCAGGATGCGATTGAGGAACCGGGGTTTCTGGACCGTAACTTCGCACTGCTTCTCATGGACGACGAGAAGAAGATTATTTCTGAACTTCAGGCTGATCCGGATATGACAACGGTGTCTATGGTCGAGTTTGTTCGCTTGTCGAAGCCCACAATGTCGTATGTACCCTCTTGACTTGACTCAACCCTCATGATAGGAGACCTGCCTACTAATTGACAATTTGAATGTCTAGTTTCTATCAAGTTGCACAGAGCAATGTCTTAACCCTCAATCAAGTTCGCGAGTACGCTCAGCACTTCATTTTCTGGCGCCGCGCTATCGCCATCCCACCACTTCATGCTCGGGACGTCTATATTGTCTCGCCAAACTGCGACCCTCGCCGCCTACCCCAGGATAGCATTGAATGGCAGCGTCTCTTCCCCGTTGCCCCCCCCTTGCCCAACTTCCTCAGCGAGCTCTCACAGAGCCCCCGGCCATACAAGCACTTCTCCCCCAGCAAGGCCCATCGCCCCTCATTCCTCCTCATGCTGGCGTGGCTCATGCGCCGTGGCTGGGTCACACAGCTATGCACCTTTGCCTACGTCATAGTCTGGCCAGAGATTATATACGAAGTCGATTACGAGATGGAAGCTGAGGAACTAGCCGCGGCCCGCGAGAAAGCCGCTTCTGAGGCAGCTGAACATGAGGACCCGTCACATCACCAACGCCGCCACTCCAAAGACCAAGTCCCCGCCACCCCCTTGTCGGCCGAACCTGTCTCAGAAGCCAGCTCACCCACCACAGCCACCGACTCTCAGCCCCCGACGACCGCTGAACACGCGGCTGAAATGGCACGTCTCGAACGCATCGCAGCCAAGGCGCACCACGAGGCCACGGAGAAAGCCATCGCGCACGGCCGCAAGTTTGTCCCAATTGCCACTGCCCACCCGTCACTCAACGATGCCCTTCACCTCAAGGGCATCACGCCTCACATTATCCTTGATGCCAAGAAAGCCACGGGACTGGAGTCCCGCTATTTATCTGCCATATCCTCGCGGTTCAAGGACGAAAAGCTCAAGGGCGCGTGGCAGACCTTCTGTAGGTACTTTGATGGGAGGTGTGCTTTGGAGAGGATCGCGTTGCAGGAGGATATGAAGCGAAAAGAGGCCTGGAACCAACTCACGGCAATGACCGAGTATATTTTGTGTACAAGACACTGGTAACGACATACCACTTGGCAGGCGTACGATATTTCTCACCGTACGAAGGCCTTATTTGCTCGATTACATTGGCCACTTAACGACGATGGATGCTTGATATCCGCAGCACAACATTTGCCTGTGGCCATGGATGACCCATGTAACTCTATCAAAGTTAATAATCATATAATAATGCTTGAATAGTATCTTCTCGCGCAATAGACCCAGCAAATGAACTAATTAATTATCTGAACCTGGCTCTTGTTGTACAGATAGGCTAACCGCAGTGTTGCAGCTTGTAAAATTCGAGTCTGGATCTATTTTATGTTTCTATCATTGTTCTCTCTCCTACCCTTTATTCTAACAGATATAAGCGGAGTCATTTAGGTGACAGAAGAAACGAGACATCAGATCAGAGAGTGGCTACAGACCATTTTCTATAACAACTAGAATGATAAAAAACATACTCCATCGCCATTAGTAGATCAGTAGGGGATATCCCAAGACGAGGCTCCATGCGTGATATATCTACCTACCTAGGTAACACAAGATTTTTCTTTGTACCAAATACGGCTCATTCCTGAACTGTAACGGTGAAGGTACCTTAAGAGGTACCATAAAAGTACACAAAGAGTAGGAAAACCATGGAGACGCTTGGAGAATACAACTATAATAACTTAATTCACCTAGCAAACCCATGAAATTGACAGCAATTTTACGTTCACACAAAAAAAAAATCCTACCAAACTCAACGCGGATAGCTCGGGCACAGGGCAACAACGTCTCCAAAACTCTAATAAGGGGCTCGGGCATAGACCCCCCCGAGGGGGTTTTCACGACCACATATTTTTCTGTAGCTGCGAAAGAATGTTAGTATACCACCTAGGGCCTGGTCGAGGTAAGTGGCCAGGTCCTTGAAGAGAGGATGGCGACCATCACAGACAAGCCAACACAATATCATTCTGGAACAAATGCATGTGGATAATATTTAGTTTTATTGTTTTTTATAGAGTTTATTCTTAACCCTCAATAATCTCATAATACTGACCACAGAGACCACAATAAGCAGTATAACGATGAGGTGTCTCAAATTTAATGTCACTGATTGGCATTGAATTATGTGGGTGAGGATGCTCTCGCTAGGATAGTTCGTTGGTGGATCATAGTTGATAGCAAGGCAACCTGGTTCAGTCCAGAGCTTGCCCGGAAGAGATCATTAAGTATATTAAATCGCAAGCTACAAAATTTTCATAGATTATGTTCTGAGCCTGACAATCCGTAACTGCTGGTGGCTGTTCCCCCAACCATGTCAAAAACCGCTTGTGCCTTGTAGATATTTAGCACTATTAGACATAGATTGCTTCTATACATGAATTTCACCAATACCGGTTCTATAGAAAGATAAGACAAATATTCGGATATTGATCGGGACCTCCAATGAGGTCCGCACTAACTAGCAGAAAACCGTGATAATAATGAGAATACCAATGCGAGAAGGAAAAGATGCCAGAACGCGAAGACAAACCCAATCGTATGTGTAAACAACTCCGGTCACTCCCACACCGAGAAATAGACTAAAAACCACGAACTAGAATAACGGGATAAACTCGAAGGACCGCAAAAGCAGACCGCAGAGCTGAAGCGAGAAAACGAGAAATAGAAAAGAAAAAGGAGAAAGGAAACCATGGCTCTCTCCCCTGATAAGAGCCTCGAGGTATCGCCGAGGGGAAAGAAAAAAGAAAACCCAAGAAAGTAATCAGATGAAAACAGATGAAAAGAAAAAATAAGAAAAGGTACTGCCCCTCGCAGACGTCTGAGTGTCAGCGAGCTGGGGACCATGTCTTGACATGTGTATTATACCGATACTAAGATGCTTGATGCTTCCATCTTGATACTGAACCCATCATCATCTGAAGCTTGATTGTAAGAGAGACCAAACGCCTGGAAAGAAGTGACAGCCGATCCCAGAACAATGCAAAAGTTGTTGAGATGAACCCGAAAGCCTCAAAAGGAGTAGTGTATCGGTAGATAATAAAAATAAAATAAACACCAGAATGAGATGACGCAGATCTAATGCAAAATAGTGATATGACGGAAGGGCTATTGAGTTAAATCCATGTCGTACTCGTCATCACCCTTGAAGTTGAGATTGCCGTTGCCATCATCATCAGGGTCATGCCAGAATTGATTTGTATCTCCGAGGTCCCCGGGAAGACCGGAGCCATTGTTATCTGGTGGTGTAATGCCAAGAGAATCCAAATTGCCTTCACCGGCTGGGTTGCCCCTGTAGTCGGTGTGGTGAGGTACGCGAAGCCCAGAACCTGCGGTGCGAGAGTATGAGAAGGTACCAGCCTCGTTCTTGTTGATAGCGTCTATTAGTTCAGACTGCATACGACGCTCATCCTCCGTGAGCTCAAAGGGAAATTGACCGCCGAGTTCAGCAATCGTATTCATAAGCTCCTCGTGCTGTTGAAGCTTGAGATGGAGCATCCACATGAGATCACGAGTCCAGCTAACAGAGCCGTTGAGGATATCGCCCTTGTTTGGGCCCTTGTCTTTCTCTTCGATTGGCAGTCCTGTAGTAATGTTACCAGCGTTGCCACCGGCTGCCCTCCGTGCGCCGGGACCAGCCAGTCCAGATGTGGCCTGGGAGGGACTTGAAATGCCAGTGAGAGTGGGTGACAGTGGTGTTCCGTTCTGGATGAGCTTTCTGATCTTCTCATCTTCGAGGCGATGCGTTGGGACAAGTCTGCTGAGATCCTGGATCCTCTCATTTATATTATCGCGACGCCTCCGCTCCACAAGGTTGTGGGATTCCCTTCTGCGCTTTCTCTTAGCCTCCTGAGAAGACATGGCGTTGTTCGTGCCGAGCTTTGCAGGCATCGAAGTGCCTCCCTTTGTCATGACCTCATCGATGGGAGGGACCATAGCTTGCTGTTGCATGGGAGACGAGAAGCCCGAGTTGTATGAAGCAGGGTAACTGCCGGTTGGGGTCTGAAGCCACTGCCCCGAGGGTGATTTCTCGTGGTTGCCCACGGTCCGGATGGACTGAGGGCCAAAGTTAGGAGACTCATGGGATCCAAGGGACATGCCGTGCATGACATTTGTCTTGGGAGTCATGGGGCTGCGCGGATTAGAAGCTTTCCGCTGCATCTGCTGTGACATGCGTGCTCTGGCACTAGTGTTCATGTAGTTTTGGTCATTCCCATCTGGTCCCATATCACCGACGGTCAGAGGGGAACCGGAGTATGACAGAGGGGAGTGCAGGGAGGTTCCAAGCGATGTGCTATTTTGCACGGGGCGGAAATTCGAATGAAAACCTGTTGTGTATGGGCTCGGGATGGGGTCACCGTCTGGTGTGCTGGAGAACCCATTGACTTGGTTGGCGTCCAACCGCAATCCAGACCGATGGGCCTGATAGGCATCCTGGGAAAAGCCCATATTCATGTTTGAGAAGTCTTGTCCATTCGACTGCAAGCCGTGAGGACGGTCGGAGCCAAGGCCATCTAGCAGATCCTCGTCGTCAATTAGAGCGGAGCCAGTTGCGAAGGCATTTGAGCCGCCTCCGGAATTCGAGTGGGAGTTGTAGTTATCGTTGCTGAATGCATGGGAGTAGCCGCCACCCATTGCAAGGTCGTTGGGGTCGATACTGCCCCCGTTCTGGGTAGAGCCAAAGGCTCCGAAGCTTGTGTGTTGGGCCATCTTGAACCCAGCTATGTGTTATCTGGCGGAACGAGTGGGTGTATTCGTATTTGGGTAAAAAGCAATGGCCGAGATCACTTTATGTTTCGCAGGCAGGTGTATGGCCGGAAGATCGTACACCTAATGGTCTGGAGAGGCTTTGTCAGTTGAATACTGTGCGACATTCCCATATACTGGCGAGGTGAAAGAGGCGGTGCATCGCAGAGGCGGTCCCTCCAATGGTAATCCGGCACAGTGCGGGTGCAATCCGGATCTCAAGGGAGGGACGCAGCGAAGGGTCAAACGGGCTAAAACAATGACAAAACATACCTGGACGTAATGCGCTGTCAAGGGAAACGAAACAGATCGTCTTTCGTGTCCATCAACCTGATCTCGCGATGTGTTGTGACAAAGAGGAAAAGATGACTGCGAGTGCGACGTCGGAGGGGTAAGTTTATTGTCGTCGCAAGGCTCGGTTGGGGTGGTGGTCGTTGGTTGTGTGGGAAATGGGTGCGCTCAGGGAATAAGCCTGCTGTCCGGCACCTAATCTTGAAGAGTTCCTGGCGGGAGCTTGGGAGCCGATTCGATCCAAGCAAATAAATATCTGGTGGTGAGGGGTGAGTCTGTGGTGGACTGCGAGCAGATGCCCAGGGTAAGGGGTGGTGGAGGGAGGTTGAGTGTGCGTCGTCTTCAGGTATTAATTATTTGTTAGTCGGCGATCCGAAGCCAAGCATGACTATTGGAGGGGGAACTGGGCAACTTGTATGCAGCGTAGAGATGGGTCTTGGGTCTGGGGAGGGAGGAGGGTCTCTGTCAGACGCCAGCCAGGGTATGGAAGCGTAAAGTACGGTAGGAAAGACGAGGAATTGCAGGGCCCAATCAATAGCCGGGAACTCACCAGAGAGATGTGCGCCCTTGAGCAGGAAGGTGTGCAGCACCGGATGCGCAAAATAACAGAAAGGCGACAAAAAACGACAGGTCAACTATAGAGGAGCTGAGGTCGCCCGCACACACACACACGCACACACACGCTCAGTGTTGCGAGGGAGCCGCTGGCCGAGGATGAGCTGTCGGTTGATAATAAATGATGTGAATTATGTGGAGAGAATGGACAAAGGCGGTGACGGCGAGCTCGCCACTAACAAGACGCACTGATACTGTCTGGAGAGGTTTGTCGAGTCCAGCTGGAATGGTGGAGAAGAGGGTTTCAGGCGCTTTGGTCTGGGCCTCGTGGTGGTTTGGGGAGAGGGCAGGAGTAGGCGAGGTTGGAGGCTATGCTGCTTGATCGAGAACTCGAGTGTCTTAATACGGATGAGATATTGATTCTGCCCTGGGCTTTTCATGGAGGGAGCAAAGCAGCCGTGGTTGGTTGGTGTGAAGGTTTGCCGGAAAGTGCCTTTTGCTGTACAGTTAAAACACGGACTCTCTTGAGAGGCTGCCTGGGCGGGCCCCATTCGGGTTGGATTGGGGCCAGGAAGGCGGGGTGAAGGGAGGAACCAACCAGCTAGGTACAGCCAAGGTACCAGCGAAGTAAGGTGGGTTGAGGGTTGACCAGAGGTACATGTACTGATACCTGCCGGGAGCTGAGGTGTGGTACCCTGATGCGGGCAGTGATGTAATCAGGCCCTGCCCACTCTAGCGCAACCGCAATAGCTGCCCGTATTAACCCTAGGTATGTATATATGTATATTGGGAGACAACAGCTGAGAGAACCACGGACGGTGTGGCGTTGTGGATTTCGGATGACTCTGGCTATTCCAGACACTGGCAGGTAAGAGCGGGTGAGAAGTAGGTACTCAAGATCAAGTCAGGTCAGGTAAGCTGTCATCCAGTTGTGCAGATGATAACAACGTATCCTCCCAGGCACTAATTTAGTCGCAGTCTGTGAGTAAGCGCGTAGGCAAGATGCGATGGCAGGGCGTTGGTCTGAGGTGTTGACATGCAGCGGCATCCATCAATCAAGAAAGGGGGAAGTATACGAACGATCTTCGGGCGGCATACATGGCGGTGCATCCAATTTATACCTGCCTCTGCGGCTGCTGCGTGCGGCCACAATTGTCGTGGGGAGCGGAGGCTTTGCTGTATCATCTGTTCTGCCCAAGCTCTGTATGTACTTGTAGCTCGTCTTCTGACTCCTCTCTCTCTGAGCAATGACGGCCCCATTTGAAAGGCTCACACCTCACCTCCATCTAGGAGAAGGAGGGTGTGCATCTTCCTGAACGTGACTACGGATTTAAGACACACCAAGCCTGATGGTGGATTCCATGACCATGGGCCACAGCCCAAGATCGAGCCTGGTGCCAGGAGAACCAGGCTGGATCGTGCATCTCCAGCTAATATCGGCGTGGAGGCAGATATGGATCATGTCTTCTTCCACTTCCCGCGCGGAAAACGGGTCATGGGAGAGGCCCGCGACTGGGCTATGGAGGACACCTTCATCAGCCTTGAGCCACGCGGCCGTACACTTTGACCACTCATTTGCGCAGCTCGCAGCAACGCGCACCCGCTGCCTAATCCTCTCGATCCGGCTGGCTGCCTCGTCTTCTGCGACCCTCCAAGTGAGGTAGGTATCTCTTAGCCTCGCATGATGATGCGACCTACTACCGCCTACCCATGGACGCTACTACGTTGTAAATAAACTGACCTCTGCTCTGCCAGGATGGCGTCGCGGCCCAGACCTTGGTGGGCACCATTCGGGCCAGGATCGCCCAGCGACGGCAGGGAATGCGCCCATCATCATGCAGCTTGCTCTGTAGCCAAGCAAGGATGGGAGCTCTATATTGTAGTCTGCCGGCTCCGAACCTCCGAAGAAGCTCCCACAGTGGGGGTGAGCTTGCGCAGTGAAGCGCTACGAGCACCTGCTGGAGCGCGCGGCACCGCCAATCATGTGGCCATGTTTCTACGACTCCGGATCCACCGTAGAATTCAACCACACCTTCTCTAGCATCCAACGCCAAGGTCCTCTCTCCAGTCACCACCATCTAGTCAGCAACCATCCCCCTACCGCCTTTACCTCATTGTAGCAACAGCTAGCTTCGTTGCGACAATAGCTCTCGACCTAGTCATATCTCTGCCCAGAGGCGCCAGGCTCCCGCCCACTCCCTCCCTCCCGTCCATTTTCGCTGCGGATGCCGCGGTCACGACTGACCTGTGCCCCTTCGTCGACATAGCCTCCCCCCCTAGTTGAACACGTTCTCTCACGCGGCTGTTTGGTAAGCCTCTCCCATACTACCTGGTGTGGCGTCATAAAGCGAAACACCCCCCTTCACACCCGTTGAAGGAGAACCGGATTGAGTACATTCTCGATCTTGTCTCTGGCCTCGATGGTCTTTCCGGTTACCAGGCAGATAAACTTGCGACTGACCATGCAGCTAACCGGGTAGAGCAGCCAGTCGATTCCACCAGCCAGCGTCACCTCTCTGCGCCTCCCTTCTCTGCCGCCCCTCCATTTACAAGGACCCGTCCGCCGACTTAATATTCTTTCTTGGCCTCGTAGGATCCATTTTGGTTCCTTCCCTCTACGCGCGCGCACAACTTACATTCTTACTCGATCTCGACCATGGCCTCTGCATCTCTCCGCGAGTCTTTCAACTCCCTGGGCTGGAGTCGTCGTGACAATGAGCCTGTCGCAACGGCTCCCCAACCCACCGGTTTCATGGCGTCTATCCGAAATATGAACCCGTTTGGAGATTCAGGCTACATGAGTTTACCCACAGCTGAGCCCGGAGCTCCTCTTCCAGCTCCCACACGCCGCGAGGAAGAAGAGGGCTGGTTCGCTCGTAAGTTAACCTTGTCTCTCAACCCAGTTGTCTCTCGGGTCCCCTGCATCGGGCCACTGCATTGCATCTTAGCCTGCCCCTAGATGATGCATGTGATGCATGTGCTTGACTTGATCGGCTCGGAGCGCGGTATGACTGACCTGAATCGCAGTGAGTCGATGGGACCGCTTGATGATCTTTGCGGGCTGCAACCTTGGTGCCCTGGCATGTTTCGTCATATGTTTTACCCTGTTTCCCGTGTTGGCGACGATGGGACCGCGAAAATTCGTGATCTTGTAAGTGCTACCAAAAGATATGGGCATTTTGCTAGTGCCGACCACTTTCCCATCTCCCATGTGATCCACGGTTGCGCGCATGACACCCCGAACCCAGACCGTGACATCAACCCCGTTTCCTTACTACCCACATCTCATGTATCGTTATTCAGAGAGCTCATGGTTTTCGCAGGTGGTCTATGGGTTCGGCGCTTTTCTTAGGTTCCTTTGCTGCTGTGATGGGACCGATGAATTATCTCTACCATCTTTTCTCGGGTCCTCGAATCCCGTTTACTGTAGCATACTTTGGATCCATCATCATGACCATGGTGTTTGCTATCAAGGTAAGAGAACAACCTTCCCTGACCGCCAGTCTATTCTAGGCGGGCAGGTGTTTTCATGCCGAACTTCTTCGTCTAACTTCATGGTGATAGTTGCACAGCACGATCCTTACCTTACTGGCGGCTATTGTTCAGATTGTGTGTCTAGTTTGGTACTTGGTCAGTTATTTCCCCATGGGCTCAACTGGTCTCCGCTTCGCTACATCATACGGAGCAAGGCAGGCCACTGCCTGGATGAGTGGTTGAGTTTGACCCATGTTCCTACCATTTTGACTTGTATCTTTTCATTGTAAGAACATGTACAATATACTCTGTAGAGAATGTTCCATAGCGTGTATGATGATTTTGAGTCATGAGCAAGGCATTTCCTCTGGCTTATCGCGGCGAAATGCAACAAGGTGGTTGTGCTTCTGCCCTTTCAACCATGCTATTTCCACAACTCCACTCGACGTTTGAAGAGAAAGGTATGTTGGTTGCATCATCGAAACCTAACGGTATGTTAGGAAGGGGGGTGCACCGTGAATGGGACTCATGAGTGAACACACCCATCGCCCTCCTCCCTCACTGACTCAAGAAGAAAGCGGTGTAGATTGAGCATGCCCTCATCCGGACGTTGGAGGAAGAAATGAAGGGCGTCCCCTCCCCCAAGCGCAAGCCGGCAAACAACCGCCCGGGAGGGGGGATCTTGGCCAGATTATCCAATAGTAAACCTCCCGACTTGGAATCGGCATATCCAACGCCTGGTGGGGCTGGTTTGACCTTCATGCAGAACTCTTCCCCTCTTTCAACCAAGATTCAGCATGAAAGGCATACTGCCTAATTCCAGCCAGGCCGGCTGTGATTTAGGGCGTAACTCGTAACACAAAATGGGGTGTCTCGCGGAGTTTCCTCCGGCGTCACCTGGGATTGGGAGTCCTATTACCACATGCAGAGTGCTGTGGAAGTGGTAGCACTCGGGTATGGAATGGAGTGAATCTTGTGCCCCACGTCCAGTAGCCTTTTGCGTATGCGCGAGTGTAAACCCAAGACAGCAATTGATCGTCTCGACTCACGGCGTGTTGGAAGGGACCAACATGTTGTTGATACAGAGTTTCCCTGGGAGGGCATCAGAGACAGCTGCCTGTCTGACATCGTTGTACCCACTACTTGTGGTACCTGTTGTATCGTGACTGATTCAGGTCCGAGTACATACACTAGGTTTAGGTAGGTACGGATGGATTATTACCCAAGTGGGTGAAATAAAACATGGCACATCGAGATAGTTCAGCGTTGAATTTTAACACAGTATTAGAATAATTCACCTAGTACTGAATACAATATCAAGCTAAATAGCATAGAATATTTTATTGTCCTCTCATTATTGTCTTTAGTTAAAATCGAAGTCCCTGCCTTACGCGAAAAGAGCTTTGGTGTGCCATGTTTTATTCACCCACTTGTTACCCGGCCTTAGGTACCTGGGTAGAGAGGGAAGTACATGGTTGACTACCCAAGAACCAAGATCAAACATTGTTCATCCTGTCAGGCAGCAAGCAAGCAGCCTGGCCGCTCATGTGAATGTGGAAATTTTTGAACCGTTAATACACATTGCTATGTAATCGGGAGGGGTTCCCTGCTTGTCGCTGAACTTCAGGGCTAAGGTTGCCCATGTCTCTCGTGGCATGGCAGGGGAACCAGGATTCACGAAGGAAGCCAGTGAGCTTGGCAGCAAAAGAGAAATTGCTTCGGAAGTTCCCTCGATGTCTCGCAGGCCCTGGCGGCGCATTCTGACTGTTATCGCTCTATTGATAGGTATGGATACAATAAGACCACCGGCCATCATCGGTCGCGTACCAGTGGCTTATGTATTTTCAACCCTCGTAGCACGTGCAGCCTACCTAAGGTAGCTCCATAGTGCTCTGACAGTTATACATGCCTTTGTATGAACAAATGCTAGAAAACACGTATTCGGTTCGAGTTCCACGACTTTTATCGGCAATGGAAACTCGTTCAAGTCGTGTGCGGTCCTCCTTAGCTAGGTCTAGCGCACACATAGGGTCCAATGGGGCTGCACTGGTTACTATTACTACCGCTTTCCATCAGCGCACAACAGGCGCCAGGGATTGATTGGGCAGACCTGGAGAGACCAGGCAAACATCGTCATAGTGTAACCATGGAGGGGCAGAGGAAGGTCCGGGTAGGGTAGCCCAGGAACACCAGCCCAATCGACGAGCGTCGGGCCCTCGATTCGATCTGCCAGGAAACGTAGGTACGATAGACAGTGACGATGCTGATGAGCCCTAATGCTGGTCCTACTGCCCTCTTTCTGAGACAAGCCTGCTTTTGTGTCAGTGACACGGATGAGTTTTGCTGGCCTAACGGACCCTCATCCACGCCGGCAGCGGACCATCAGGGCATAAAACACTCCAGCAACCTCGCACTAGGTAGGTGCCCTCCAGGCGGCTCCCCCCCGATTCATATTCGCGCATCCCCACTTACAGCCCATGGACGTGCGCCAAAAAAAGCAAGAACGGGGCCTGAAAATCCAGAGCCAGCGCTACCCTGTCCCCCGAAAGATGCCCTGATGACCCAGAAGATACCGAGCGTTCCACCTCTGACAGTGCCTTCATTCCGCCGGACCACCTCGCTATCCGCACCCAACGCCTGGCTCCTAGCCCGCCGTAGGTACCGTCCCACGCATCGGCCACTGCAAAGATACCTGGGAAGTGGTGCCTGGCCTCGGCAGGCTCTCCACTGCTAACGGGGAAGCTGTTCTGCCCGCTGGGTGTCAGTAGGTAGGCAGAGTGAGAGGGGAAAAAGGCCGTCTAAGAAAAAAAATTTATTTGTTCACACAACGCAAAAATAACCTCCGACTTTCATTTGCCCCAAAGTCTCTCCCACCTTTCACCATATCGTCCCTTCCAAAGACGTTTTAAACCGGCCAATTCTCAGGATTGCCGTTGTGGTTTGCCTCAAAGTGCTACGTCGCATCTGTGTTGCGCTCTAACATTTTGGGTGTGCGATTTGGTTTTCTTTTTTTTATTGCATCACCTCGGTCCAGAGCCTCCCTAGTTTGTCAGGCAGCCCTCTCCCGACTTCGCCTGGTATTTCTGGTTGGGTTTTTTTTGGCCTTGCATAAGGACAAGAGAAAGTGAGCATAACCACCACACAACACAGCCTACTTTTTGACCAAGCGTCCACACGCGAATTACTGTTTCCTCCGTCCTTTGAGTGAATCTAGTTATTCCCCCTCCTCCGAACAACGTCTCCATTTCCATAAAGCCGTTTGTCCGAGCGCATATTCAACGAGTCACTCGAATTCTTTGTACGCCGCCGTCTCCGATTGACTCTGTATCGCGGCTTGAGCTCGAAACCCGAACCAGGGCACTCGAGCTCTTGGCCGAACAGACTTTCGTTTCGACTTTCAGTACTCGGAACGAATCTCGAAGTCGTTTTTACCCCTCGGATTTCCTTCTCCGTTTCGCCTGATCTCTCCGAAACCCCGAACGCGTCGCTTTTCCTCCTTTCTGATCGTCAGCCTACATTTTCGGATTGTCAGCAATACCCTTCCAGGTGGCACTCGAGGCCCTGTAACCGGCGCCTTTGAGAGCACACCTAGCGTTAGGACCCAAAATCGAACGAAACGAGTTTTCGATTTCTCCAGTCTTGACGACCTAGAATCTCACGATGGCGACTGCATCGTCGTTTTCCTATGCGCAAGCCGCCAAAGGACAAGGCGGTCCTACATCCCAGCAGCCATCTACCAATGGCCAGAACGAAATTTCTGCAGCAGCTGCCTCATCTGACAACGCCACCTCAACAACGGAGAGCTTGCCGGATGTGCCATCTTCGATTTCGAGCGTAGATGCCCAGGCAACCAGCCAAGAGAAGCTGGACAACGAGAGCGTTTCCGCTCCAGATAGTGAGGCTCACCCGGAGTCTACCCAAGGAAGAAGCTCCGACTCAAAGAAGGATGAAGAGCTCGGTCGTCTAGAACGCCCGTGGAGGCGGAATGATAGGGGAACCCGATCCTCAAGTACCACGACACGCTCAGTTGACGAACAAGAGTCCCGCCGACCTCGAAAGGGAAAGAAGGGCAAGACCGCAGAGAAGCAATCTGGCGAGTCAAATTCTGCCCAGGAGCAGGAAACGGAGCAAGAACCAGAACAGCCAAAGATCGAACTCTCCGAAGCGCCGATCCCATCTGTAAATATTTGGCACCAGCGCAAGGAGGCACAACTAGCCAAGACTAAGCCTACGGATGGTGAATCTACTGAAGTGGCTTCAAAGCCAGCTGAAGATACTCGGGCAGCCGTTCCCGATGTGAACGGTGCCAAGCCTCAAGACAAAGTCAACGAAAGCTCAAGAGTCGAGCGAAATGGCAGCCGTGGATCGAGGGTAGCTTCCAAGGAAGCCAAGAGCGCCGTACCACCTCCCGTACAAGACGCAGCCCTTTGGCCCACAGTCGAGACCGCTATCAAGGAAGATAAAAAGAAATCTACAGATACGAAGACTGAGCGTTCTGACAAGGAGGTCCAGGATGAGAGTGCCCAGTCCAAGCAGGCTCGATCGAAGAAAGAGTGGGTGGCCTATGACTACGTTCCTACTGTCAACTTCGAGACACAGCTTCCTCCTATCCGAGGGACCAAGCCTCGCGGCGGTGCCAAGGGTGCCAGCGGCGGAAGGGCTACTACGGGTGCGCAGCCCACTGAGAAGGGAAGCGCTGTTGTGGCCAACAAGGCCAACGAGCCTAAGGACAAGTCGAAGGAAGCAGTGAATGCTCCCAGCCGCGCTGCCGTTGTCCCCCCTCCCTCCAAGCGCCCATCTGGCGAAGGAGTTGCCAACCGGAGTGAGCAGAGAAGGCACACCCTGAGTGGTGGACCTGAGAAGGCCAAGGATACCCCTAACCAACAAAATGTGAGTTTCCAACCAGAGAAGAATCTATTTGGACACCACCCTCGCTTCGAGATTAGGTCCATTCATAGTATGTCTTTTTCTAACATCGCAATTTAGGAACAAGCACACGTTGGCCGAGAAGGCCGCAGTGAGCGAGGCCGAGGTGGCTTCCGTGGTCGTGCTGGCCACCATGCTGTCAACCCTCATGCCCAACATCAGCACAGCGCTTCGGCAGCCTCCTTCCAAGGACAAGCCTCAGTCGCTTCTAGATCACAGGGCCACTACAGCCCACCTACCAGGCAGGGCGCGCATAGTCAGGCTTTTATCCCCGCTGCTCAAAGAGGTGGGCGTGGCGCACGAAACGGCAACAACTG